CAACATATATTGCAACTAATTTTAGCTTATGTTGCAACATTTTGTAAATTTGAAATCAATTGCTGTACCATCTTTAGGTATAACGAAGAACTACAACTAGCATTCGAATTCCATGGTCGGCAACACTATAGTCTAAATTCAATGTTTTATAGGAGAGGCCAGATAGATTTGGATGAACAGAGAATGCGCGATCAGAAGAAACAGGATATATGCAAGGAGCAAGGTATATGTCTTATCGAAGTGCCGTATACATGTGACCTTTTTCCTTACATTAAGCATACGCTAATTGAGAAAGGAGTCTTGAATGGAGTGAAGCCTAACCCTTGAAAGTTCATATGATATAAAACCCCTTAACAATGTTAAGAGGTTTCCAAAAATTCGAATTTCCCAAGTTAGGTCAGAGAGAATTATTTTCTTGGCATTTTCCGAGACCGTGCGTCCTGTAAATTTGCAAGATTATTTAGAATATAATTAGTAATAGTTCGACATGAAAATAAAGAAACTTGAGCCAGTTGAAAGGTTTGTATACCATATTGATGAGATTAAAGATGCCAAAAAATATAATGGACACTCGAGTGTTCCCCAATGGCCTTTCATGCTTGGAATCTTTGGCCGTACTAATACAGGAAAAACTAATGAGGTTCTTAATCTCACGCTCAGAACTAAGCCTTATCGAATGTTTAATGGGAAGAAAGGAGGGACACACTATATCAAGTGTGATGATTTGCTACTCATCGGTCACAATCTTAATGAGAAAAAATATATGATCCTTAAATCAGCATATCAGACAATTGCTAATAGACCAAAGCCATATCATGAAAATATTTCATTCCGAACTTTGAAGCCTGATAAAATTCCCAAGATAGATTCATTTTCTCCGGGCAGGGCTACATTAGCTATATTCAAAGATCTATGCGCCGATCCAAAGGAAGTGCAGGTGAAAATTATTCCTTATTTCATTGAAGGGCGCCATTACAATGTAAGTTCGATATATGTATCCCAGAGTTACTTTGACTGCCCAAAAATAATACGAAAAAACATCTCACATATCTGCCTATTCAATGAGTCATGCACTATGGACGAGCTGAGCAGAATTGTGCGTCAATATGCTAATGACTGGCGTAGTGTGATTAAGATTATTG